AGGTTTCTGAACAGGGACTTAAAATTCTTCAGCAAAAATTTGGGTAGAGCTAGACACAGTTTCCTCAGATACGTGCAGATCATCAGCTGACGTATAGATGAGTTCATTTACAGAAGGCGAAGAAAATTCATCTGCTAGTTTTCGTTTGATGCCTCTAGACTTGGCTCTGTCAGCTCGTTCAAGTGAATGTTGGCTTGGTTCTATCCAGGAAAAAATGCTTGGCACTGCACTTTTCCTTAATCTTTTACTAACGGAGCAGTTCCTAAAAATTAAATGAATTATTCAGTAATTTTAAATGGTTATAATTTATGAATTTAATGAAGCACTAAGTTTCGTATATGTTATGCATACTTAAATATTCCTTTGTAAAAAGAAGCTAAAAAGTTTTCATAGAAAAGCAAATAAAGTTACTAAATATATTTATCATTATTATGACATTGATATTTACGAAACATGCACACGTGTTTCTCATTTCAACTGAAATCTGACAAATTTGTTTGTAAGCAGAGTGCTAATTAAACACCAATGTCAAAACACAGTATTTAGTACTAGCAGATATGCATAAATTATCAGACAACAGCATGTGTTCTTTTAGACATGCCTTGTGTTTATACTATTAAGAGATAATGGGTTGTAATAAATGACCAGTAATTGAAGTTGCCAGTGGGGAGTCTGCATGTGGCAGTTTCTGTAACATTATCGGATTACTTCGAATGAGAAGTAAACAGACGATCCGATATTATTTGTGCATTTTATCTAAGTAAATGAGACATAAATATTGCACAAAATAAAATCTATAAACATTACTTTGCACATGTGTTTATCAAAAAGTTTTCAAGACGATAAAAATGTTACCATGCTGAGTTTCTGTCAAATAGTCGTCTGTTTTAAAATGTGCTCTGCAAACAACAGCATGAGTTGACGGAGTCCAGCTTTGGAAACGAGTCTCACCACGTTTTATTGCATGTATCCATGCTTTACTTCTTAAAGGGTCTGTTGGAAATATATGACCACCCCTATTACTACAATTCGGCACACAACAAGTTTTAGGCATGTTTTATAGGCACGTGTTTGACAGCAGATTGTTCACGTTTTTCTTCGATCGGTAACTACAGATAAGGCCCGAGAGTGTTCCGATATAGGACCGTGTTTGCCTGTGGCGCCCTCTAATGAAAAGATAACCGGAGCAGGTACCTTATTGACCAAGTTTTGGTGGCTATCTATAATTGGGACATTATATTCTTGATAATGGATACAAATGGAGGGGAGATTTGTATTAACTACATTGCAAAAACCTACGAAACACAAATAGTGACAGATACTGGGGCACATATGGGGTACGGTTGTCCCCGCACCTGTTAAAATAGGAAAATCACTGTGAAATTGATGAAAAGTATGAAGTACAGGTCCACGTAAGAATCAGGCAAAATCAAATTTTCGTGATAAGTCAGTGTTTGAGAATTGACTTGAAGCTTCACATGGTTATGCATCAGGACATATATATTACATATGTTCGATGATTAGGAAATATTCAGGCTTGTTCTAATTTAATAGGCAATATATTGGGAAAATATTATGAACATGAGTAGTACAAATCTATACAATGGTATGAATATTGAAACCTTAAAAAATTAAAACAGCAAACGTTATGAGAGAAAGTGATAATGAACAACGAAACAGCTATTTAAAAATTATAAATTTAAATTTTAAAAAGTTTGGAAAATTGCGAGTCTAGCGTTTACTACCCCGATAATTACTTCCAATATAAGTGAATTTCAGTTATCGTTCTTAATTTATGACTTAATTTGTCGCTTGAGGGCGCTCCGTTGTTAAGCACGCGGATGCCGAAAAAACAGAATCAAATTGAATAAACATCGAATTTGGCATATTATTTTGGTTTAATTAATCTATTGAAAATTAAGGAATGTCTAACTTCAAACGAAACATCTTTTTCCTTGAAATCTAGCGATACAGTGGGTGTCAAATTTGATCGGGTTCAGGTTGCTCAAAACTTGTCTCTTGTCATATGCGGATTTGGGCAGGATTATTATAGTTTTACAGTTTGACTGCGTTATCAAAGATGCACAAGAGTTTATAACAGACTTAAAAAAAATTGGTCTTCACGTTACACAACGCACTTTAAACAATCGTTGCCAAACAGCAGTTTTATTGAAACTTTCAATCATAAAGTCATGTTGGCGAGGAAATGCGGACTTATTCGAGTCATGCGACACTCGATTTGAGAACAACAACATAGCCTATGTAACACTTGATTGTGGTTATTTCAAGACACAATAATATATCTAACATTTATGGATTTATTTCCCGAAATCCAGCTGAAATATGGAAATTATCTTCTCACAAAAAAGGAGTTCATGTGATGCAACATGTGCAAGTAAGTAGTTTTTTAAGCTAATGCTTAACCCTTTTGATGTCAACCAGAAATAATAAGCAAGCTTTTTTCCATTATGCTTTAAGTGCCTTAATTTTTGGTCTTTTTCAAAATTATTTCAAATTTTGGTGTAATTTTTTTTTCTTCTTGTAAATCCTTCCTATGAATTAGGAGAACCCCATTTTATAAAATGGTATAGATATTTATTTATTTTAAACTACCAATAAAAAAAAATTATCTTGCTTCAGACTTTAAAAATGTTTTTTAGAGATAAGTAACTAACAATAATAATAAAATAATAAAAAATTTTATGCTTATTCAGAGCTTAAAATACTGGGTAATATGCCACTGCATTTAATTTTTCAGACAAGTTCAAGTTGCAGAAGAGTTCCTTGGTCTTCTCAAACAGTCGAGGTTTTCTTCTCCTGTCCAAACTTCAAAATTTAGTGAAAAACAAGGAAACAAACTTTACGAATGAAAGAATTTTCTTAAATCACATTGAGCAGTGAATCTGGTGCCTTTTGTTGTGTTTAACCATCATAAAAGCTAGTGACAGTAGTGTAGGTAGAACTTTAGTCCTACATTGCTCATCAACTTTTGTAAACAAAGGGAATAGCATACCAGTTGAGATTTAGAGTGGCGAGTACTATATGAGAAAACGGAAACCATCCAAAAGTAGAAGCACCACAAGTCCATATATTGATCAAGTTCATTGAATGTGCATGTCTGCTTGAAAAGTACTGTAGTTTAAAAAGCATTTTTTTTTTTAAATCATGGGATGGAATGATGATTATAAAGAACTGATATTGTAACAACTTTTCTTCTACAAATTTTGATCTTTGTATAATGTACAATGTAATTTATAAATCACCTGTAAATTGTTAACATTTAATAAACGTGATAAACCTTTTTGCAAATTTGTCATTGTTGATTTCTTAAGAATAAACTTGGAAATTTTCATATTAAAACATTTAGTTTAGTATTTTGAACAACATGACATATTTTTAAGTATGCAATTAAAAATATCATATTGTTGCTCATATAACGGTACAGTAAATCAAATGTTGCAGCTGCATCATTTTCTGCAGTTGAACAAAATCCTTTATGCAAATACACTGACAATAGTTTTGCTTCGTTTGATACTGCAAAAAAAAATTAAGATAGTTTGAATTGAAAACTGTCATTTATTTTAATCTAATAAATGACAAGACAAATCATGCAAAATACTAATTATACAAAATGACAAGCATTACACAATCATAAAAACATGTGCATAAAATTAACAAATACATTTTGTTAAGCCAAATATCATAGGTGGGGCATAAAAAATCGCCCATACAGTTTTAAACATCCCAAACTGTATCAAAATTATTTATCTTTTACTTACTCACAAAAACAAAATTTTTGAACGTACAATTAATTTCTCCCATCAAACATGGCAAAAAAAAAAGCTTTTGGGTGGGATGGTGGGTAAAAACAAATCAAGATGACTGGCGAATGTATGCTGACGAGGAAATGCACGCTGGAAGAATGAAGGCGTGCGCAAAATTAGAGCATCTGGTCAGTTGCTGATAAGAAATTATCAGATTACAAGAATGCAAATTGAACGAAGAAAGAAATCAGAGTTGTTCTTCTTGCCATGTCAGATGTTTACATAAATTAATTTAATGCTGTAAATTAAGATCTGACAATAGTTTTGCTTCGTTTGATACTGCAAAACAAAATGAAGATAGTTTGAATTGAAAACTGTCATTTATTTTAATCTAATTAATGACAAGACAAATCGTGCAAAATACTAATCATAAAAACATATGCATAAAATTAACAAATACATTTTGTTAAGCCAAATATCATAGGTGGGGCATAAAAAATCGCCACCTTATTGTGTTCATAATAAAACAATGAACGCAATAAACCCCACCCAAAACTATTGTCTTCATTAAATTCAATCCGTGGTAACATTAACATAATGAACCCAAATTACATTATTACATAAGTGATAAAATTATCGTCTTTCCTTTTTTAAGAACTGTCAGAGACCCTTGTCCCCATGACCAGACTGTTCTTATTAATATAAAGTCAGAGGCCCTTGTCCCCATGACCAGAATGTTCATATTGATATAAAGTCCGAGGCCCTTGTCCCCTTGACCAGAATGTTCATATTAATATAAAGTCAGAGGCCCTTGTCCCCATGACCAGAATGTTCATATTAATATAAAGTCAGAGGCCCTTGTCCCCATGACCAGAATGTTCATATTAATATAAAGTCAGAGGCCCTTGTTCCATGACCAGAGTGTTCATATTGATATAAAGACAGAGGCCTTTGTCCTTATGACTCGGTAATTATTCATGCAGGAAATAGTGACAAGCTCTCATGCAAAGCTACATTTACCATTATGAAGTCAGAGGCCCCATGACCCAGTGTCAAGTGTTAAATGTCATTACACGAATCATGTTAAGCTTCATATATATAGACAGATTAACTGAAAGAGGAATTCCTGTTCAAAAACCTGCTGACCGTCGACTAAAAAGCTTTAAAGAAATAAAGGGGTGACCTACCAATTTGTACTATTTGATCAGAGGCCCCTGACCCCATGATCAAATTGATCTACATATGAAGCACAGGAATTCTTATGTACTTCTTAAAAGTATCTGAATGCCATCTTCCCATTCGCTTGATTTTCTCTGAAATCCCCATTGCTGCAGCACAGGTCGCAGCTCCTATTCGAAAACTGTGACCCTTATAATGACTCGTTTTAAGCCCTGCCCATTTGAGTGACATTTGCAAAAAATTTGTAAAATGCTGTCTTAGTAATCCATCGCCATTTGGATATGCAAACAAAGGACCTGGTGACAGGCCTCTAAGTTTAAGAAATAGCTGAATAGCCTGAACAGGACAAAATTGATCAGATTTGTTTCTTTGAAGAATCAGTGTAGCGATGTGTTTGCCTGCACTATGCTTGAAATTATCCATTGTAATCTCGAGAGATTCACAAGAATTTAATTTACCCGAGACGAGTTTTACATTTGCAAGAGTCAATACATTTTTACCGTCTGTAGAAGACGAGACTCTAATTTCCCCAACCCTTAAAAAGGCATGAAAAGCCAGCAAACACATTGCTCTTAACATACTACATTGATAGGCTGAAATGCTTAACTTGTCCAGAGAAGTCACCAGCTGTTTCAGAATTGACGTTGTTATGGGCAATCTTGTGTCACTTCCTATAGCCTTTAGCTTTTGATATCCCTGCAGCATTTTGCGAATCGCAAATTGTTGTGATGGATCTTCAAAACCTTGAACTTTGAAATTATAACTAAGAGCCGAAATGTACGTTTTCAAGGTTGATGCTGCGATATTACTTTGAAAACAAAAAGCAATAAAATGTGCCAAATGCTCAGTAGTAGGAGGCAGTAAAGAGACATTAGGAAAGTAGGTTGACATAAAGTCGGAATAAAAACCAAAAGTTTTTTCATAAGCTGCCCTTGAATTAGGAGCGAGGGAATTCTCCAGAATGGATGCTGCTATATCTGTCAGAGTGTTAGCATTGTTGGGTGAACTGCTGATGGCACTGGGTCCATATTTGTACATAGGTCCTGAAACTCTCGGACCTGCAAGCGAGAAAGGCGATCAGCAGCTACATTTAGTACACCTGGGATATGTGTTGCTTTAAAAAGAATATTGTATTTTAATGTTTTAACTATAAAACGCCGCATTAAATTCATAATTATTGGGTCTGCTGAAGTTTGTTTGTTAATGATGTATACTACTGCAATATTATGTGAATAAAAATTAATACAGGAATTCCGTAATTCAGATCCCCATAGTTCTAAAGTTATAACAATTGGAAGCAATTCTCTGACTGTTATGTGATACTGACACCACTCTTGTGGCCATTCCCCGAAGAACCACTTTGTTTTAAATGTACCCCCAAACCCTACGTCACTTACATCCGTAAACATAGATAGGGTTTCAGAGGTTTCCCACCTTTCATCTAATATCAATGACCGACCATTAAAACTATTGATGAATATAGACCAAGCTTCAAGATCAGCCCTTGCTTCTTTGTTTAATCTCCGTTTGAAGTGGGGTAATTTTAAGCCTTTCGTAAGATCTATTAACCGTCTTAGAAAAGTGCGACCCGGTAGGACAGCAGCACAAGCAAAGTTCAGTAACCCAATCAAAGATTGTAATTCTTTCAAACTTACTCGTTTTCTGTGCTTAAACGAATCTAATGTATCCTTTAGCTTATCAAGTTTATCCCTTGGTAACCTAACTACCATAGCCAGGGAGTCAACCTCTAGACCTAAAAATGTTATTGTTGTTGTGGGGTACACTTTTCTCATCCTTGATTGGGATGCCGATATCATTACATAATTTAAGGAAGTTCTCTAAGGATTTCAAACAATTGTCAGAATGAGCTGGTCCCATAAAAAGAAAGTCATCCAAAACATGAACACAGTTAGACTGGTAATAGTATTCCATTATCCAATGCAATGAAGAACTAAATCTTTCAAATAGGTTGCACGAGTAACTTAGGCCCATTGGTAAGGTCTTGTCAAAATAAAACAACCCTCCCACACTAAAGCCCAGTAACTCATGGTCTGACGGATGAACTGGAATGATTTTAAAAGCATTTTCAATATCTGTCTTTGCGAACAAAACTCCCCTACCAAGTTGTTTTAATAAATTAGTCGCATCATCGATGGTTTGATATTGTACCGAACAAATATCCTGCGGGATCCCATCATTAATAGATTGACCCTCAGGATAAGATAAATGATGTATTACTCTAAATTCCCCTTCTTATTTTTGGGGTATTAAACCTAATGGTGAACACTGAAAATTTTTGAAAAGGAGCATTTTTGAAAGGTCCGGCTGCTCGACCACAACCAACCTCTTCATTTATCTTATCTTGAAGAATTGATTGATTTTAAGTTTTTGCAAAACCTCTGCTCACGAACACCTTGAAAGGGAATTTTAAAATCCTCTGTAAAGCCATCAACTAAAAATTTTCTGTCATTATTATTGTATTCTGAGAGCCAATGTTGTAACCGTTGAGGATTCACAGGGGTAACTATTTCAAAGTGTTTATTTTGTAAGTTTAAGGGCTGACTGCTTAATTTCTGATGTTCCGGTTTGGGAGGTTGATTTTTGCTTATTTTTGTTTGCTGCTTTGGGGAGTTTTGGGATTGATGGGCAAGTTTTCTACTGTGATCTCCGCCACAGCGTTGGCATGTGTGGGAGAATCTACAGTCTTTTCTAGAACAAATTCCTTGTTCGGAGTCATTGTAGTTGTACCAAACGAGTTTATTGCTACCCGCCTTCCCTTTGTTACTAGTACCCTGGAAGGGACGAAAACTAGATTTTTGTGCTACTCCTTTTAACTTTGATTGCAAAACAGATGCCAATGCTTCCTGATACAATTCTAAGTTTAACTGGTCCCATGGGAGTTTAGCTGGAGATATCTCTCTCCATTACCGGAACGTTTTATCGTACTGAATAGCTGCTAACGCAGTAGACTGGTCAGCAAGCTTTTGAACAGTCATTGCGTATTTCATTAGTTTTGTGACATCATTTGTATGCCTCTCGCAGAAAATACCTACAAAAATGTGGAAAGCTTTCAACCACTGAGAAATAGATTCAATTTTGAGAGGAGTTGATTTTTCTTTAACAAATGTTAGCCCATTGTCACCTTCTTCAATTGAAAATTTTACTTCTTTTTCGCTTGGTTTTAGTAAGGTACCAAAGTCGACGTATTCATTTGCCCATATTTTAGATTTAACTTTTGAATCAATTTCCAGGGCTAGAGGCTTTGTAATACTCTCGGGGACGTCAGGGGAGATGCTTTTAGAATTACCCAAATTAACAGTAGGTTCCGCAGCATTGACAGCTTCCTTCTTTGCGTTGTAGCGCTGCCCGTCTGTTGTTGTCTGGAGAGTTCATCAATCACTGCCTTTGTAATACTAGGAATAGCTGCTTGAATGACGCTTTGGATTTTATCCTCAAAGCAGTCTTTGGACATTGCAGTTTGTTTTGGCGGAGGTTCAACTGACTCACTAGATTCTGTTGTCCTTCTCCGCTTTTTCTGCATAGGAGGCATTTTCACTACCTTGAATAAAAATACAATACTTAAGCTATATCATACATATGACATACTAGTTGTAAACTCAAACCAACTCCTACCGTTCACGGTAGCTCAGTCGGTAGAGCGCTCGCTCCGTGATCGGGAGGTCGTGAGTTCGAATCTCGGCCGCGACAGACCTAAGTCGATAAAAAATAGGTAGCAACTGTTCCTTCGCCATGCGCTCGGCACTTTGAAGTGAAAGTTGCGGGTCCTTCGGATGAGACCTTAAATACCGAGGCCCCGTGTCACGGCAGGCGTTGGCACGATAAAGATCCCTCACTGCTCAATGGCCCTGAGTGCCGAGTAAAGGTCAAAATTTGAAGCCCTTCACCGGTATATGGTGACGTCTCTATATGAGTGAAAAATTCTCGAATGGGACGTAAAACAATATACAATCAATCAATCAAACCAACTCCCACTCAGGATTCCTCGCCTGATTACGATACGCTTATTCTGGCACAAAAGATGTACCAAGCTCTCTTGTTAACCTGGCGATTAATAATGCCTGATAGGAAGATGAATGAGTGCTACATACATGTCTATACTCATAGTCATAAGAGAAAGCATCTGTATTCCATTAAATTACAGCAGAGTTAACATATCACCACTCATTAAGCATATGTACAAGTGCTTGAGTAACTCAATTCATATTTGTATCAGAACCAGCGTACATTTTCATTTTGCCCGAACATGAAACATCATACACGTACAGTCATAAAAATGCATACTTTATGTGCCATAGCACATTCCAAAACATACGTGCAACATCATATGAGATGCATTAGTGTTAGCTCACTGTGCAAACTCATTGCTTCGGGAATGTACGTTTACAGCTGTGCCAGCTCACAGTTTACTGGAACTGATACTAAATCACATGGTACCACTTGTAACAGTACAGGGTTTAATTAAACATATATTTCTCTGCAATGTTTTATGACATATCGTAGAAGTAATATCTCAAGTACAATATACAACTAGAACTGTCCAAAAGGGACAAATACCCCCCGCTGGGTTTTTCAGAGGTGCCAAATCACTAATATTTTATGGATCTAAGAGGTGTTCACCATTTTCTTATAAACATTTAGAGTGAAAAAATAATTGCTCATTATATTTTTTTAATGAATGAAACCAAGGAACAACCTAATAAAACATCTATACCAATACATTGTTTTTTTTAATACATTGAAAAAATAAATTGCAGCTATCTGTCATCTTTTTGAGACATGACACTCTGCAAATTGATTGTTGAAAAAAAATTCAATTAATTACAAAATCAAATTAATCTTGATAACTTTATATCAAATTCATTTTAAAAATAAAAGGCTGGTCATCCAGTAACTATGCACTATGACAGACAATAAATTACAATTAAGAGAATTAAAGAACAGAGATCTTTAAATTCCCAGGAGATATAGATAAGACCTGCTTGATCAGAGATGCCCTAACAACTTCCCACACTGAACTCATTAATTTATCTCTAACTGGATGCATGTCCACTCATTACTCCCAAGGGACAAATGGATTTACACTATCTGCTGTGTGATATAAAAATTGTTTTTAATACTTGATGATTTTTTGTTGTTGTTTTAATGAATAGTTTTAAGCTGTAGTTCACATTTTTGTACAGATGTTCCAGATTCTATGTCTCAAACCTTAGAAATAAACCCAAAATGACTAAGTCAATAAAAATGAAAAAAAAAACCTGTAAAATGCAGAAAAATTATCAAACAATGTCGAAAATACCAGGTGCACATCTTCATATGGTAAATAATGAGTGGACAAATTTTCATACAATTCTATGAAATAGCCTTTGAGAAAAGGTCAGGACAAAACCACATAATAAATATGAAAAACCACCTGTAAAATGCAGAAAAATTATTCAATCATGATGAAAATACCAGGTGCACACCTTCATATGGTGAATAATAAGTGTACAAATTTTCAGACAAATCTATGCAATAGTTTCCAAGAAATGCTCTGGACAAAATCTCGTCTACAGACAGACGGACAGACAGACGGACATGGTGATTCCAATATACCCCCCCTAAACTTCGTTTGCGGGGGGTATAATTATTTAACGCAGTCATACTGATTGTCATTCATGATTTAAAAAACCAGTGTCTGCTAACCGTATAGATAAGTTTAAGCATTACATACTTTAATTCATATTTTTTGTATGAAATCATGGAGATATTAAATAAACTTTTCTTCTTGTAGTTGGAAAGGAACCTGAACGAAAATGTGCTGCTAAAGTTGACATAGATTTCCATTTTACCAAATCATTAATATTGACGAGCATATTTTAAACATTGGATTATCGCCCCACGTAAGTTTCTGTAGTAAATTGGCATGCCCCATTCATTGTATAGATGGACTCCATCACAAAAGACTGTGCGCTCGCTGTTTTTGACACCTGTTAGATTCCAGTACTGCAAGAAGTCTTTCCCCACCAGCTCCCTCTTCA